GTCGGGTCCAGGTAAGTCGGGGACTGCCTGTATTTGTGGCTGCTGAGCTCAGGGAGGTGGGGTGCATGTCTCCTGCCTATGCCAGGTCTAGGTTCTTCTCCCCACTGCGCTCACCAGCCAGAGTGAGGAATGCAGAAACAGTGTGCACTTTGTTCTCATTCTCCGATGAAGAAGAAATAACCAGCAACATCCCCGTACAAATCCTTTCACTTGCCTGTAAATATGCCTCTTTTCTGTGTGGTTTTATGAAAAGCAATCTCATTCCAGGCGCATTCCATTTTCCTTGCACAATGAAACTCTAACTTTGCTTTGAGTTATAAGAGGAAGCTGTATACTGAATTTGGTGGGAGTTTTTGAACAGACAGACTCTCTGATTGTTTAAAAGTGTTCCATGTAGCAAAAGCACTTTGCATAGAGAACAGAATTATTAGGCCCTCTGTCAATAGTTATGTCATGCTGACTGTGGTTGGTGTTCATTACAGAATTATTTACACCAAGTGCTTTGCCTTGTTAAAAAGTTTTGTGTCTCAAAACAAATACCATTGTTAAAATAAGTGGGCAGTATGATGCTTTGCTGACGGAAGTATTTTATGAATTCATAGCCTACCTTGAAGTCTATTCATAATGTTGCAATTCAGAAAAAAACTGACTTTGAGAAATTGGGGGATTACATTATTTTGATTGCATATCTCCACTGAAATCTTGAAAATTATCTCTAATTATGGTCATATTTTGCCTAAAAACTTTCTTCCTTTGTTCCTGCGTGAGTATCTCAAACATCCTAAACTAAATAGACCAAAACTAACAGCCATTTAGTTTGATTTAAGAGCAGTGATCCTCATCTGGCTTAAAACAGTTCTACTCAGTGTAATGAATGTGCTGTTCTATGCATGTTCTCTGACTGGATGAGATCTATCAAAGATTGTAGGAATTATGTTTAAACTATTGCGTGAACTTAGACCTTTTACAACCTCAATAACACTTATGTTACTAGCAGTAACACTTGTTACTTTTAAACACTTGTTTTTTTAAAAAAATATTTATTAGATACAGCCTAGTCCTCCAGATTTGTCCCATGCAGAATGTTATTCCTAAAATAATCTTCCTGATGAAGTCATTCTGTCCACAGCACTTTTAAGGCTAGTGGAATTCTGTCAAGATCAAGGAAATAGATTTGTTTCAAATTTTATTTTACTTTAACAGTATTAAAAATACTTGATAAATACCAGACTGTTCTATTAATGGCTTTTAATATTTTATTTGAAGAATAAAATTTAAGATGTATTGTACAGATGGCATGCTAATGGAGTACTATGAATGATTTACATGCTTGGTGTGATGCTGGTTATTTAGTATCTTTCTGTAGGTAAAACAGATGACAAAAATGTATAGTTAAATGTCTAAAATGGTAGCAGCATACTATTTAGTGTCATGTGATGCACAAGGGAACTCCTGTTAAGTATCTCCAATTATATTGAATTTTTTTAGCAGGCTGGCCAGCAACATGGCTCAGTCCTGGCTTGTGACGGGTCTGGGACCTACCCCTGCTGCGGCTCTGCATCTAAAATGTATTAGGGGGTAGGCTGGCAGGCAGCTTGGTTCAGTTCCCCTAGCAGACCAGCTCCCACCTGTCACCCCATACTGCTGCCTTTGATACAGAGGTGGCAGCAAGGAGTGGTAGGGGGCTCCTTGGAATTGGAGCTGGAGTGCTGCACTGGCTGCTGGCCCCATCCCTGGGGACTATAGAATAGTCAACTAAAGGATAGGAATTCATGAGGTTACTTGACTATTCTATTAATGGATATTTAACATCTCTAGAAAAAAACCTGCAAATGGGGCTTCCATGGCTTGCAGATTTTATCAGGAAAAGTTTGATAAAGGAGAGAGGCTCTTTTCCAGCTGTACTTTAACTAAAAGTCGTTGGGCTCATGGTTTTTATGTATATGGTAGCTCAGACATTATCAAAGCATTATGCTTGGTATTAACACATGATTAATGGGGTTAAGAGGAGAGGCTTAAGAGTAGTAACCTTTGGTATCCTTAAAGTCTCATTGCATCAAAATCCATATACAGGAATACCAAACAGACGAGGACAGCTTGAAAGAACTGATCTTGTTTAGTCTAGAGCAATGGTTCTCAAAGGTTTTGGCCCATGGCCCACCCTGCTCAACGTAGACCCCCAGCCAACCACCCATGATGACAAAATAGGTGTAGGAGAGGGCAGGGGTTAGGGATGTGAATGGATAATCTGTTAACTGATTACACAGGAATTTACATCCATAGTGGAGGTGTGGGGTCTGGCGGAGAGGTAGTGCGTATGAACTGGCTGAGGGAGGGAGGGTGCGTGCAGGAACAGGGTAGAGGAGTGGGTCTGGGCATGAGGGAGATGAGGGGCACTTACCTGGCTCCACACCACCTACCACTCCCAGGCACTGCCCCGCCCCCTCTCCTGCTGCTCTCATTGGCTATGGTTTTGACCAATGGGAGAAGCCTCTAGGTGAGCAGTTTCCTGTGCTGCCATTCCCCTAGAGCAGGGGTCTCCAAACTTTTCAGCCCGAGGGCCGCATTAACTATCAAACAGCAGTTCGGGGGCCGACTACACACTTGAGGTCCAAATAAAAAACAATCAAAACATGGATGTTGTTTTTAATTATTTATTTAATATTATTTTATTCAGTTATTATTTAATAACACATTGATACACTACACATGAACACCTGTATTAGTGTGAATGGTGAAATTGTTTCCTGGATGCCAAAATAGCAGACATTTCTGGCTTTAGAAATCACTGTTTGAAATTGGGGGTGGTTCAATATGTTCAGCCTAAGACACTCACACTTGTAGACCAGCACTACATGGAGCCACTCCATTTTCCCGTGAGTCAGATGCCACCTGCTAGGCTATCCTTCCCCCTCCTCCCCTGCAGTGGGAACCCAACCTTGTGGGGAGTGTGGGGCTGGAGTGTCAGTGCAGGCTCCTCACTGCAGGGGCGGTGAGCCCCAAGCCTGCGGTCCACCTGCAAGACCGTCCTGGACCACTAGTGCTCCATGGACTACACTTTAAGAACCACTGGTCTAGAACCGTGGTTCTTAGTCAGGAATCAAGGGCCTCCAGGGAGGCCTTGAACAGATTTCAGGGTGTTTGCTAAGCAGGGGCAATGTTAGACCCACTGTGGTCCATGACAGAAAGCTGGAGCCCTACATTGGGCTGAAACCTGGGGCCCTGAATCCTGCCATCCTGGACTGAAGCCAAAGCAACTTAGCTTTGTTCCCCCCCCATGGTGGTGTGCCTTTGGAAACTGCACTGTTTACTATCCTGTAATGCTAGCCCTGGCTTTTATAATCTGAAAATCAATTATGGCACAGGTGGGCCACAGAGCTTTCATAGCATGTTTGAGGGAAATGGTTGAGAATCTCTGTTCAGATAAGAGAAGGCTGAGTGAGGACAAGTCTTCAAATAAGGTAGAAGTGTTAATTGGCTTAGATTGCAGGAAGGGAACAGGTTAGACAAACACCTGCCAGGCACAGTGTCTATATACAGATTAATGCTGTCTGACTATAGGGAGATGAACTATATGACCTCTTGAGGCCACGTCCAGGCTTACATTTCTATAACTATACAGTTTCTAAAATTTGCCCCAGTTGCGTGATATTAGCGGGCTACCGTCTTTTCTCCATGCTGTTTTATTGGCTACATTCCAGTACATGTACAGTAGACTTCCAATAATCCGGAACCTATGGGACCTAGGTGGTGGTGGATTATCAGATATGCCGGACTATCAGGAGGTACTATAAGTTGGTTATTTATATACTGTATACATTATATACTGTATATAAAGTGTTAACCCTTTTTATTGTACATACTGTATACAGTATACTGTAATGTTAGTTTTTTTAAGCCTTTTTTACCCTTTTTGCTCAGTTCAGCTGCTGCCGCTGTTACCTTGTGACTCATTGTTTGCCAAAGCTCACTCACTAGGCTCTTGCCATTCTGATGCTGGACTGTTGGACTTTTACTGTACTATTTTGAAAAATATGCATTCTTTTATTACACTGTCACTCAAGCCATAACTCAAGTATCACTTCTAGTGAAAATTGTTTTGTGTATATCATTTTCCAGTACCTTCTCCAAGTAAATTCCGCTCTCCTGCAGCACCATCACCTCTGGCTCTCCGACAGCCAGTGAAAGCATTTAGTAACCATGGACCTGGTTCTGCTCCTGCTCCAGAAGCTACACAACTGACACACAGCAGTTCTTCACCAGGACCTCTTGCAACTCAGAATTCAGGTTCTTCAAGCCCTGCCAGCAGCATCAACAGTGCTACTTTTACCAGACCAGCAGGGTCAACAGGAGTGAGGAGTGGCTTGCCTAGACCTAGTGCCCCTTCTCCTGGGGGCATACCAGTGCCTCGCAGCAAACTTGCACAGCCTGTTCGCAGGTGAGTAATCTGAGGGGGGGGACATATTCAGAAATAAACACTTTCTTTAATACTACATTTGTACCTTATACCTTACTACAAAAAGCTAGACTATTAACTTGAAAAAAGCATAGGAACATACAAAAGATAACTTAGCCCTATTGTATTAAATTCTGCCTCATCCATTCTCCTGTCATAATAAAAAATACTCCCTTCCACCCCTGAAAAAACTTGTCAGTGTTAAAGCTGATAGTATATTTGGATTGTATTACTGAATATAGTGTAACACTAATCTTTAATTTTAAAAGTGAGCATGATACAGTTACTTTAAGGAATAAGTGAACAAACAAAAGGCAAATTCAAAAGCAATGTTCAAATTAAATCTTTTGGTGGATACTTCTAAATAAAAAAAATTGATCTGCCGAACAGTTGAAGAAAACAAATCATAAAATATATTAAGATGTATGTAATGATACTCAAAAATAGTTCAGTCCTTACCTGTTTTTATATTTTGCTGTGAATATGAAGTTGTTTGCCAATCTTAGCTAAATGTTTGAATAGAAACAACATGTTCAGAGACTTGATTATCAATTATTGAGCCCTTAAAAGGAATGCTTGGAGCTTTTATGGAGCCTTTTAAGTCCTCTCAAAATGCTACCCAAACAGTGGAAACCTGAGGTACAAAGAGGAAGTAATCTCCCAAGTTTTCACAAAGGTCAGTGGCATACCTAGAGCAAGAATAGATCTTTTGAGACTAGTAGTCCACTGGCATTCCCAACAACCCATGCTGCCTTCAGTGAAATAGTAATTTAGAGATTTAGGAACACACCTCAGCTGTGTTTACTTCGTTCTAAAATCTGTGGTCAAGGTGCATAGGTCTCCTCACACATGCATTAGAAAATAATTGAATTGTAGCTGTTATGCTGAAAACCTATTTCTGCCAGGGGATACAGTGGTAGTACAGTGGCAGACTATCTTCAGTATTTTTTTAACAATCTGAAAATGTAATAAAAGGCTGCCTTATTTCTGACTGCAAACTCTTCATACTAATCTAACAGTCTCTTTCTAATGGTTCAGTCACTGTCACGTAACAGATCTCACTGTGCAGCAAGATGTCCACCTCCATTATTGAATATTTATTGTAGCTAAACTTACTTCACAATTATTTTAGTGTTTTTAGAGTGAGAAGATTATTTTCTTTTTGAAATATTGTATTACTAGGCTAAAGAAAATGATTGGAGTTGTCCTTTCATCAGTAAGGATTTGTCTGCTTTATAGTAGAACTTGATGTCCATATATTATACTTTGCATCGGGTCAGATTCATAGTTCCATAGCATGTAGTTGTATGAAGTTCTCTACATTTAACAATTTACATATGACTCAAAACTGTATCAAAATATAAAATGTTAAACCTTGAACTTGGTATTTATTCTAAGTACAGTGTAATACAGTGATGCTTCTGACACAAAAATAAAGCATAGTTTAATTTAAGAAAAATAATTCAATTATGTTAAATTCAAGTGTGTTAATGACAAACTAGCACAAATTAAGTGTAAACCAAACTGAAGTAAATCTCATTTTATTTTAGATCATTACCGGCTCCTAAAACGTATGGCAACATGAAAGATGAGAGTTGGAAAGATGGCTGCTACTGAACACTGAAGCTTAAAAATGCAAAGTTCAGTGGTTAATGGACACTCCTTCACCAAGCTAAAACAGCTTGATATGCAGACTGTTCAGATGTGACTTTCAGGATTTGTAAAATCCCAGACCTCTGTCTTTATTTAGCACAAACTGGCAGAGATTTTAAAGCAGCACTTTAATGACATTTAACATCATATATTTGGTGATCATACAATCACTTTTATGTGGCATCACTATCATTGTGTTTTTTTTCTTGCTTGCTAATAATTGTCAATTTGAGCATTTATGACAATGGCCAGTGTTTGGGCAAAAACCTAACAAATGCCAAAGAAATGCCCATCTTGAAAAATAGCAAGTAAAACAGCAAATTCCAATTGTTCAAAACTTCATATTTAGTCATTTAATTTAGCATTTGATTAATTGATAAATATGTATTCTTTAAACTTTAGCATGTTAATCAGAGTCAGCATTCTGATTGCAGATCACTACAGTGCTAATGAAACACCTACTTAAAACAATTTCAGAAGATTCTGGTTAGAAAAAGTGGTACACATATCCTTCAGAAAAAATTCAGCAGTTCTCTCTGGAGGTATCCTAGCAATGGTATTCATGGCATTGTGGTGTTAAAGGTTTGGATGTAGCAGACAGACGTGCATTCAGATTTTGTAGGTTGCATCCTTTCTGTTTGACACACCAATTTTATGTGCTCTTATGTTTTGATTGCCAAAAGGGCTTAGTATCAGTTGTACAATCTTTCTAAACTTGTAGTTCCTGGCTCAGGAAAGATGGCCTTTGCTATAATACCACACTTTTAGCACACTACTCACTATTTAGGGAAAACTTATTAGAGGAGGTTTCCTTAAAAAGAAAGAGCAGGTTGTATTATCCATTTGTTCTGATATCATACCACCACAATGTCTATAGCCTGGAACAAGACTGTATATGCGAATAGTTAATGAGGAGGAAAGACAACTATGCACTTGTAACATACAAATTGTAAGGAAATGAGTTGTACTGTTGATGCCAAATGATATTCGTTTAAAGTAATATTTCATGGTATGAGGAGGTTTTCAGTATCCTACTTTTTACTTTTATTCATTTCTTACATTGGTTTATTTTAAATTGTAAATATTTTTGCAGATGATATTGCCCATGTTAGTGTTTTAACTATGTACTTTGCCTTACATATCTGTATCTTACCTTGTTTGGTGACAGAGTATGACATCTGCTACATATGTTTACAAGCTATTCAGTTCCTCTAGTGGTTCTCAGACTTACCTATTGACACTTACATTGTTTTTATCTATTCTTATTAGCACTCTTGCTAACATTTTACTCAGTGGAAAAATTCTTACAATTTACAGACTGCTTTTTCTGTTCTATTTTGGAAGATTTGTAATATAAAGGTTTAAAACTAAAAATGTGTTGGGAGGATCAGTTAAACAGGGCGTACTGTTTCTTGTGTGTAGAATTTTTCAGTACAAGATTTCTGGATGTAGTTTGCAGCAGTGGTTAACCTTTTGTACAATGAATGGAGAACATTAAAAGCTTCATGTTGGATTGGATGGTAGGTAGCCTTTAACCCCATTAGTACCAGCATTTTGAAGTGTAAGTGGATTTTGACTCTCACCACTGAGAGGATAATTGATCTTGGAATTTCAGAGAACTCTACTTTTGGGTCAGCGTTTAACATTACCGGATGAAAAGCCATGCAACACTACTTGAGATGGGAAAAGCCAAATAGAAAGTTTTAGGGATGAGACTGCAGCTGTGACTACTCAAGCAGCGCAAAGTGTATCAGTAATGAAAGGACTTCTTAGTGACTAAAAGTGCAACCACCCTTGAAGCCAGGACATCAAATAAACTGTAATTCAGTAGGAAACCTGCAACAGGGGTTATTTTTTTTTAAAAAAAGCTACCTTGCACTATTCAAGCAGTACATGCTACTGATCTAGCCTTCAGTCACTTGCTGGCATAACAAATATAAATCAGTTAGTGTTACCTGATGTAGCTCCTATGAGGAATAGTGAATTGGCTCAAAACTATCCAGCCTCACTAACAAAACCCAAACATTTGTTTAAAATGTTACAAAGCAATGCTGCAGTCTTAAGAAAAAGAGAAAAGATTTTAATTGGTAATTTTTATTATGAAAATATTGAATTGACTTTTTTAATTTTGAAAATCAGAAAATTCAGATTAAGATATTCAGGTTAATTTTTTTAAATAAAGGCTGCATCAGAGTATTGTGTACATTATTTATTTTTTTAAATTCCAGCAATTACCTTCAACCAGTGATGAAGGTATGTTGATCTTAAGTTATATAAGCATCCTTTTATCTGCTGTTCTACTCCCACAAAAATATAGCGAATAATTTCCTGAAGAGAGAAACAGTCTCTTTACTAGGAAGCCTTTGTGTATTACCAGTTTCTCAGTATCAGGAAATCCTAGATCTTTCTGTGTTTAGAGATTCAGATATATTGCAGAAGTGTGGAAATACGGATTTGATAAACTAGTGCCTATGATTTATTTAACTTATGTTTGATATAGTAGTAAGGGTTTTATGAATGTGGATTTTTTTTGTGCCAACAGCTCAGAATCGTTATATGTATGTAGGCAGAAAGACTTGTTCTGCTTCCAAAGTTATTTAATTTTTCTGTGTTTGAATGTTTTTGTAAGTGTTAATAAAAGTATAAAAAATTGAAAATTATAAATATTCTTACCACAAAGCACTTTTCTTGTGGATCATTTTTCTATAAACCTATTTGTGTGAAAGTTTCAATTCTCCTCGAACATTCTAGAAGTGTATGAAATTCCAAACTCTGGAAAACAGTTTATAAAATTGGGGACTGTTAATAGTTAAATTAATTTCATATTTCAGTGGCTCAGTAACTAGACCTGTTTGGTTTATTGGCTCTCTCCTATAATGTGTTGAGTCTAATAGAGTGCATATTTGGCTAGTCCTCCTCTGTGGTTTTAGAACAGAAGATTTAACTTAAGCCTTCACATTTTATAGAAGTTTATGTAATGTTATTTCAGGATCACATGGTGCTGGATTCAGATATTTATCCAGCCTGAATTGTTCATGCGTAGATCTCATCTGTTCATGGTGTTCTCTTAACTTCCACTGTTGAATTGGAACTAAAACCATAGCTAAAACTTTTTTGAATAGTTCAGGTCAGCAAAAGATATATCCATTTTCCAAGCTGAAGTCAATTTTTTTTAAACTTAACCAGGTCTAAATTACGTTAAAATTATAAGTATATGGACCCTTATGCACCAGGAGATGACTGGCCAGGAGCTAACATTTATAAACCCAAGAAGTGCATTGATTTGTATCTTTGCTTCTTGTTCCAAATAATCCCTTCTAATGTACTTACCACTTGATTCTGTCCTGCTCCACCTATTTGTGACTCCCTCTTCAACATACGTTTAGGACTTCTTTTTGAATGTGCTCCATGTTATACATTCTGAATCTGGTGAATATATGCAAAACCCCATGTGCAGTACAAGACAACTTGTGCAGCAAAGTTAATTTACTGATACTCAGTTAATACCGTTCATTCCCATCCCACGCACAATGAAACATACAACTAGAGCTCACTTGAAAATATTCATTCTGGAGCAAAAAAGACTGAATTGGGTGGTATCCAATGAAATATGCTGAATTCCATCATAGCACAACCACTGTATCCAGAGTGCCCTGAGTATCATGCTAGGGCAGTGCACATCTCTTAGAGCTGTTTCAGGCTCTTTGCAGATGCAAGGAATAAATTCACAGTCCGTGTACATTTTAAAGTTTATATGCAACTATAAAAGCTAGAAACTTAATTTTAAAAAGCAAAAGTGAGTATTCCAGATCACAGTTCTGCTACATTCTCTTACAACATCTGCAGTTATGGACTACAGAAACCTCAGGATCTATGCAAGTTCCCTTATACTAATGCCAGAAACAAGGTAAAAATGGCATATGTAAAAATCCTTATATTCTCAGTTTTTTCTCCAGCACTGAACTAAAGTATGATATTTCTCATTCTTGCATCACACCAAATATTAGTTCATTGAGAGTGCTCTCAACACTTCCATTTGTGTTTAAAATAGTGACTTCAAGTCCAGCATCATAGTCCTTTCCAGTATTTGAAAGACAGTGCAACAGTTCTACCTTCCTTATGCTACACTCCTAATATCTGAGTTTTAGAAACTCTTCATCGCCCTTTGTCATATTCTACCCATTTTCTACTGAATAATTTCCCTATCTGGGTGTCTCCCCTCACTACATCACTTGACATTGGATCTTCCATTTATACAAGAATTGTAAAAAAGTTGTTAACCCATGCAGGCCTTCCTCACTTGCTAATTTTAACTTAGCATCTTATAAATTGGGTAGGTTGTTTTTTGGTTGAGGATTATTATCTGTAGAATCAGGCTAGAAATCTAACACGCTGTCAAAAAAATCCCTCAAGCTATGTCTAGGACTGCAGGCTTTTTTTGGAAGAGATATTCCAAAAGAGAGTATCCACACAACAAACGCATTGAAAAAGCAATCTACTTTTTTCAAAAGATAGCATCCATACTGAATAGACACTATCTTGCATTTAAGCTATAATTGCTATGAACAAAGTGGCCACCAGGGCACCTGTGCTTTTTCCTCTTTCCTCTTCTATTGGAAGAACTCCCTCTTCCCTGTCCACACATGCCTTTTTCCGAAAGAGCTCTTTTGGAAAAAGACTTCTTCCTCATAGAAAGAGGATTACCAACACTGGAAAAACACCTCTCTTCTTTCCATTTACTTTCGGAAGAATGCGATTGCAGTGGGGATGTAACTCAGGTTGTCAGAAAAACAGCAATTTTTCTGACAAAACTCCATAGTGTAGACATACCCTCAGTGGGGGATCTTGACAGATTTAAGAGACAAAGATAAAAATCAAAGACTTCATTAAAACTGGACAGATTTTATCTGGTTTGTTCTATAATTTATCTATGGCTACCTTAATTAAAAGTCTGAAAGAATGACCTATGAGGGAAAATTGAAAGAACTGGGTTTGTTTAGTTTGGAAAAGAGAAGACTTAAGAGGTGACATGATAGCAGTTTTCAAGTGCCTAAGAAGGTATACAAGGAGGAGGGAGAAACATTGTTCTCCTTGGCCTGTGATAGGACAAGAATCAGTGGGCTTAAACTGCAGCAAGAGAGGTTTAGATTGGATATTAGGAAAAACTTCCTAACTGTCAGGGTGGTTAAACTGAAATAAATTGCTTAGGGAAGTTGTGGAATCTCCATCACTGACAGTATCTAAGAGCAGGTTAACTATCTATTGGGGATGCTCTATACAGTACTGGGTCCTGCCGTGAGGGCAGGGAACTGGACTTGATGGCTTCTTGAGGTCTCTTCCAGTTCTAATGTTCTATGATTCTATAATCCAGTGTTTTAAATACTGCATGGTGAAATACAAAAATGCAGTAGAGCAAACTACAGGCAGTCCCCGACTTACGTGGATCCGACTTACGTCGGATCCCTAGATACGAACGGGGTAAGGCAACTCCCGCACATGCGCAGCAGCATTCCCGGGGCTCGCTCACCTGGGTCCTAGGATCCTCCTCCTCCTCGGGCCGGCTCCGACTGGGGTCCCGCAGAGCTGCCGGGCAGAGGAAAAGTGCCTCCCCACGCCCGC